TCCCATTCTCACCCCTCCTCTCTGTCTCCTACTCTCTCTCCCTTTCTGCCCCTCTCCCGTCTCTCGATCTCCTTGCTTCTACAAAAAGTGCCGTGTTTTGTTTAACAGCAATAAAGCCAACTAATGTAGGTCTTATTAATTAACCAAAAATATGCACCATCAATACAAGGCTATGATTTCTAACGTAAGTCTAAAACACATAAGAAATACTGCATGTTAAATTCACAGCACCCTTTTAAGAAATAAAAAGCTTTGCGTCACTCCGATCCCAACTTCTCTCACAGAAAAATGCACGTTGCATCACTCTGACACGTACTCGGCATGTGTTATGCACACACGTAAGGGCATATTTTTAATTCTAAATTTTCCAAGAGAGCGAAACGAGCGGGCCATAAAATGACATTCTTGATATGGTAAACAAACGGACACAAACACATATCCCCCCCCTCTCTCTCTCTCTCTCATCCTCTTTTCCCGTATGCTTTCTATAGTTTCTTCTCTGCTGTATACTATATCAAGGACACAGATAAAATCACCCCTAAACATTTTTCGATGAACGACAAAAAATAGGTATTACCAGGGAGATGTGATTTCTTACTTACAGCTAACATCTACAGCTGTACCTATGAATACCTTGTCAACTATTTATGTTAGTAGTGATCGCGTGGGATCTACATGTAGCTATTCTGCCTTGAATCAACTTTACCAACTGTTACATAAACATGTCCTTATTGAATATACTGGATTTGAACTTTATGTCAACCCCATGAACGCAGTCTGTTGTTTTAATTTATTAACAGAAATGCTTATCAAGGTGTCTGTAGCATATAATATATATACAATTGTCGAATATATATATTATATTACGCCCCTCCAAAATAACTAGGGCATGAACCGAGAGGTCGATCTATTTTCGTATATATCGAGATAAATGTATATATATTCAGTATATATGATTTCAACCTTGAAACATCTACTATATGCGCCAGGAGTGTCAAGTCTGACGGACATGAGCGCTACACAAGAACCCATTATTATTATTATTATTATTATTATTATTATTATTATTATTATTATGCTATATTATATCTACAGGCAAAACCAAAATGCAATATGGTCAGTACTGCTTGCTAGATAACCAACATAGACCTCTCGTATTTGCAAAATACCACTAATGATAATATCAAGAAACATTGTGTTACGGATGTTACTTCATCAATCCAAAAGTTATCATCACTGTTACAATTACTATTACTATTTCTTTTACTATTACTATTATCATCATCACTGTCATTTTTGCCTTATCAATTTGTGAGAGCGTATATATAAGCCCGAATATGTCATGGAGTGGTCTTTTACGACTTAAATGAGAATATTCATTCCATAATACAATAATCAGTTTTGGCAGGTGGTTTGCATTTTACCCTTTAAAAAAAGGAGTAAATCTCAGAGTACCACATAATGACGGAGGTCATACCTTTTCATCTTTATGCCTTTTATACTGATTCTATTCAAAATTAATTACTCAAGAAAAATGATAATCAAGTGTCTTTTGTTCCACCATTTTCGATACTGATGTTTTAACTTGCTAAAAGAATATTAGTATCCCGGCCCCCCCACTCAGAGGTCGGAATGACCGCATGCGTGTTGCCAAAATGTCCGGTAAAGGGGTACTTTTCGTGCGACAAAGTCCGGCCCGAGAATTGTAAAAAAAGGGGTGTATTTGACTTTACACCCGGAGATTTCTTTAAAAAGGGGGTGTTTTCTTCTTTTTCTCTCATCTCTTTGGACTTCTGAGAAATTATTCCGAATTTAGGGGGGTACATTGAGCATTTTTCCTGATTTAGGGGGGTCTCCAAGGCAGGAAAAGCCCGCGAAAAGCCCGCGAAAGGGGGGTTCAGAAATGTTGGCAGTCCTCAGATAGGGGGTGCTTTCAAAAAGAGGGTACGAGCATATGCGTACCCTAAATAACACTGAGTGGGGGGGGGGGGGGGGGGGCCGGGATTAGTATAGTAAAGATAACAAGATTATATTGCCATTGTAGCAGGGATACTTGCGAACAATAAACATTAAGGTTTGTCGACAAACCGAGGTTTATGTACGTCATATGACGCGTTTTGAAGCGTTTTTTGTACAAACCTGGTTTGTAAAAACGAGTCGAAACGCGTCATATGACGCACGAATTCCTAAGAGCCTAAGAGTCAGTTTATAATTACAGTTAAATACACAATATCGTGATTTTTATTTATCATAATCTGTTACATTGACATAATAATATAATCGTTGAAGAGCATTTTCGAGCAAAATATCTCCTTATACTATCTCGCGTTCTTCTTTCCTTTTCCTTCATCTTTCCCCTCCCTCTCATCTTCATTGACATTCGATTATAATTGGTGGGGGGGGGGGGGCATGTGCAAGCCCCTCCCCCGTTACACCCGTAGCTACACCACCTCCTGTAGATATATAACTGGGAAAATAGCGTCGAGTATTGTGTAAATAACAAAAGTTTCAAGGTTGAAATCACAAACACTGAATATATACATTTTCTCACAGCGTGTGGCCTATTCTAAATCAATACGTACGGAAATGTGTCGACCTCTATACAATCATGCTCTACTTCTGTTGGAGGGACGCCATATATATATATATATATATATATATATATATATTCGACTATTGCATAAATATGGAAATATAATGTAAACTCTTAGATAGGCATTTCTGTTAATAGTTTCAAACAGCAGACTGCGTATATACGGGGTTGACATACAGCTGACATCCAGTTTATTCAGTGAGGACATATTTATGTAACAGTTGGTAAAGTTTTGTCAAGGCACAATAGGGCCTACCCGATCACTATACTTACATTAATAGTTGACAAGAATTTTATCAGTCCAGTAATAACAGGTAGATGTTAGCTGTCAAATCTCCCTGGTAATACCTATTTTTAGGGTGAAATTATCGATAAATACTTTGAAGCTAGTGATCATTGCGTTTAATTCAATTGAAATAATTTTTAATTCGATACCAGTGATTTACAAATGTTGCTGAAATTACATGATCTACCGGGTTCTTTCTCACTTTTGCCAATTATGCACGAGGAGACACTCCCGGTGGGGGGGGGGGGGGGAAGCATTGTGCCCCTACTTTTTCAGGTACCCCCAAGGTGCCCCTTTCTTTTCTAATAACTGTCCTTGTCCTTTCTTTTCATCTCTGGTGAGTACTTCTTTTCAGGTGCGAGAAATTCCCCTTTTCACCTCTTATATTTTTGACCTTTTTAAAACTTCGAATCGTGCCCCTTTTCCTTTTTAGTTAGTGCATTTTTCCCTTCGTAATAAGAACCCCCTTCCTTTTTACTTAAATGTCCCTTTTAACATCTGATAGGTGCCCTTTTCCTTCAAAAAGTTCCCCATTTTCTTCATTCTCACGAGTGCCTTTTCATCTCTGACAATTGCCCTTTTTACTTTGACACGAGCACCTATCTTTTCTAATAACTGTCCATATTCTTTCTGACAAGGCCTACTTTGCCTCCTTTCTCCGTAACATGCACCCCTAATTAAAGGGGACTTATAGTGCCCCTTTTTCTTTAACTTTCTCTAAAGGTCGCTCGCTACGCTCGCTCGTATTTATAGATGTTATAATTATGTTACTTATCAAAGAACTTTTCAGTCTTTCTTCCTTAGATTGTGCTTAATACTCATCAGGGTTAGTTTTTTGTCTTCTTTATAAGATGTAATTTTTCGCACTGCGACCTCACAAATCTTAAAATTTGTGCTCGCTCGCTTCGCTCCCCCAACATTTATATTCAGACCATCACACCCAACTGCAAGGTATGTTGCTTAAGCACTAGGATATAGCACAATCTTATCTGTTGGACAAACAAGGAAAATACAAAACATCGGTGCCTGACTACCTCCATGTATTGGCAATGAGATGCCCGAAAATCCGAAATCGCAGTTTACCACGCTCATTCGCTTCACTCGCTTGCAACATTTTGGGCAATCGCCGAATATCCTGTGTATATATGATATGTATAATCTTTGGGCATCGAGGTGACCGAATGTATGAGTTTTTGTATCCGTGTGTATTCATTACTCTGTGAGGTGCCCGCATATATTATCGTATGCCTTATTTAATGCGCTGAAAAAACTGAGAATTTCATGAAAGGTCGACCATTTTCAAGGAAAGAATCTATCACGAAGTCCACAATTTATGGCTATGTCAATTTGATTAAATTATTTCACAAAACGGCATAAATCTCATGTGATTCTGAACCACTATCATGCACCAGAAATTTCCTGTTCATAAAGAGGACATGCAAGTGTTATACTCAGCAGCTTGTGCATTATTTTTAAAATTTCTATTTACGTAATGTTTCTTTTAATTGTACCTGGACCCCCAGGAAGAACAGTGTCATATATTTTTATAACACTGAACGGGCAATCCAGCCAATCATTTTTAAGCAATCTATATACACATGTAATTTTTTTTTAAAAATTCTATTATGTTTCATTTCGTTTTATGTCATATGTTATTTGTCTTTTTAATATGATTGGAAAATAAATACAATACAATACAATAGTACGGTACCTCACTTTCTTTGAATTTCTTTGGTCATTACTTTGCTAGTATACACTTTCGTCTTTTATATTGTTGTTTGAATTTGTCAATTTTGTTTTCCCTACCTGTTTTATTACCAATACTTTAATCCCCTCTAAACCTTACAAAAGGGACACCACAAAGTAGATTGAGAGAGAGAAAGAAATGTACAAGCATCAACTCAATATTTTATTATACGCTAAAATGAATCAACAATAAGGCGTGTTCTCTTTTTAAAAATTACATCCAAATATCTGATAATGGAAGGCTTACTAGGCTTTCTTTACAACATTAACACAGGACACAAAATTCTTTGACGAGGACATATACACCAAAAATAAAACAATATGGAAAGCACTATACCATAAAAAAAAGGTTAATCGAAACAAAAACTATAATCATTTCATGTTTTCATGGGAGAACGATTGTTCATAGCAAAGATCATCTAGTTTATATTAAACACTGGCCTCTTTTGTAAGTCCTTAAACCTCTTATCGATCTTAGTAGGAAACACCATTATCTGAAGCCATTTACTTTCAATGCAGCATAATTATAAATGTATGGGACTACCGGATAAATAGCTGAGGCATATTTGTACTACAACTTCTCAGTAATAGGATTTCCACTTTGATGATAGGAATTAAGACATACACTGTCAGTATGCAATCCACATGATTTGTATACAAGACGAAAAGGGATAATAATGGTTAAAATTCAAAGCATAAAATAATAATTTTCTTTCTTTTCTATGCTCCTGAAGAGGAAGTAAAGTGACAAAGAAATCAAAGGCCTCTAACGTGCCTAAAATCCAATAGACTCTGCATTTTGAGACAACCTTGTGAACAAAATTCAAATTATCTTCAGTAATGGCATCCTCTGTTCAGAGCCAGAAGGGCTTGAACTCCGTGTCAAAGTGCAGGAGTTACCGCCCCTTTGGCTCCAAACTGATGATATGCAGGAAAGAACTCAACTCTCTTCAACTGCATAACCAACTTTCCACTAATTTAGTATATAATTGTCAATCCACTGTACCTATAAGCATTGTCCTATGTAGTAAAAGTAGTTATTTGTGTTGCAGGCCACACCATACATCGGTTGCCAGTGATCCTTTCTTATAGGAAGGTACATGTATATGTGTATAGTGTTCGTTACATTTCTTCGGCCATGATTCTACACAACATTGTAAACTGCCAACCCACTCCTCAACAAGAAATGACATAACAAAATTTAATGGCACAAGAGTAGTGCTCTTCACATTTCTTTATCCCATAAATTCCCTGAATTGCTAAAGCGCGTGCAGCAAGATTTTTTGTTCTCTGCTACTTGCCACTTGTTTGCACATGTTTCAAGTTTCGTACAGCACTTTTTATATTCAAACAGTTTACCATGTTATGTGAGAAGAAGGCTTAATGATCTTTACCGGTATCTGAAGGGCGCGACTAGACTTTTACATTGTTACTTTACAATCTCTATAGCATCCTTTAATAACCGTTTCAACGGTATGAGAATTCAAACAAAGTACCTGTATCTCCCATTCACTTTCAATCATAACTTGGAACATTACACCAGTGAGCTCCACGTCAGCCATAATTGCTAGAATTTCCTCTAAATACTAAATTTTCATGTCGATTCAACAACACATGCTATACAAAAGAGATTAATCATTCCATGAAACTTTCCACTGGGGGTAGATTCATAATGAAAAACCTCAGGAATGAAATACAAAATAGGGTATAGGAAACATAAACATCTAAGGATGCATATTGTTTGTTGACTACGCATCTTTCACTAAATGCCTCTAATTCTATCTTCTCTGGCATTATTGGTGGACGATGTCGAGGTCGATGAGGGTGATGATGTCCGGGGTCCATCAGAGTTATCGCTGCTGTTGAGTTTTTCTCGTACCAAGCCTACAAAGAAGCTCACTGGGTTTCCGATTTGCTTTCATCGTTGTCATTATCATCCTCACCGTACTCGTAAACCTCATCCTCGTCTTCCTCCTCCTCCTCACTTTCATCTTCATAATCGCCCTCTTCATCATCATATTCCTCCTCATCTTCTTCTTCCTCTTCCTCCTCTTCTTCTTCTTCTTCCTCATTTTCCTTCTTCAGTTCCAGTTGATCTATATGTAAGGAAAGAAATGAGTGTGGTGGTTATTTTACCTGACTGCTAAGAAAGCATAAATGCTTGTAAGTAAGCAACCAGACGGCCGACGGCTTTGGTCATCTCTGAGGGACCTGGTAATGAGGATTAATGCCTTACCAAAGGGCACTAGCCATCGCTTTGGTTTGGAATCCGGGTCACCAGATAACGAGACCACTGCTCTACCAACCGAGCTATCGTGCCTTCGTTGGCCCAAGGTAAGTTAAAAAGTGTTGATAAATATGTGTACATACATTCAGGCAACAAGACAAACATTTGGGGTTAGGTAGGGTCATGCTATTATTTAATGGACCCATTTCATATCAGGTAGATCAAAGGGCAAGGGTCAAAACAAGTCAATGTATATTAGAAACCCAAATTTCCACCCTTGTTATTGCAACATTAAAACAAAAAAAAGAATGAATTATCTTAAAATTCAGTTTCAATAGGCATTGCATGTAATGAGACGTACAGATCTAAAACAAACTAGACTTTAATTCGTCACTTAGACGAATTAGGTGATACGTATGAAAATGGTCTACATAACGAATAATGCATTACACGATATATTATTTTGTAAAATGCTTCTCCCATTCATATGCTTCTCCCATTATGATCTATTCATATGTCAAGATTAAATTGTGTCTCCTTGATCATCATGGATCTAGGGAAGATAGATTGAAACAATATATGACCTTTGACCCTGTGCAGTAACCAGTTACACATTTGACTCTAATTTACATCATGAAGAACACCTTTTGACGATTTTTATCTTATTCAAAGAAATGAAAATGTAATTGATAAATGATTATCATCATGATAATGATGATCATGATGATCATGATCATGATCATGAGCGCGATCATGACATCTTATTGAAAAAATGAGGGTTGATTTAGATAGCATATAGTCTCAGCTACAACATACTCAAAAATCAACAAAATCCAAGCCAAAATAAAGGCGATATTGCTCGCAAAAGACAGGAATGTAGACTCCAGATTTGAGAAAAAGTCATCTCCCATAGGGATTACACGCAAAAAGTAATGGATTAAGTGAAAATAGGGTAATAATAAAGTAAAAAGGGTTATTTATGACATTATTTGCGAATCTACATGTTTAAATAATCAAAGGAGATGGTACAATGAAGGTCAAAAGGAAAAAAAAGTGGAAAAAAAAAGTGTTGGAGACACCCGGACTCGAACCAGGGATCTCGAGGTTGGAAGTCAAGTGCGTTACCGATATACCAAAACATCTCCCATAGCGATTACACGTAAACGGGAAATGGAATTCAGAAATCCTACTTTGCAAGTGAAATTTGAGCATGATCCCGGCATCAAATCGAAAAATAAAGTACACACTTTTGATAGCTCATTGTCTCAGCTACAACATATTCGAAGCTCAGCGAAAACAAAGCTAAAACAATGGAGATTTTGCTCGCGAAAGACAGGAGTGTAGAATCGAGTTTTGAGAAAAAGTCATGTCCCATAGAGAATACACGCAAAATGCGAAAAATTGACATGCCTCCTTTAATCTCAAAAATACACCATGATACTTTTGTTAAAAATAAAAATTGTGAATACTACATTTGTAGAAAATTGTCTTAGCTAGAACATATCAAAATTAAAAAGAAAATTGATCAATATTTTTAGAGATACAATCATTTTTCCAAAAATATGCTGACGTCATAATATGCAAATTAAAATTTTGAGTTTGGAGGCCATTATGATGACGTCATGAGTTAATTGAGGATAAAATGAGACATGAAATCATATTTCCGACTCATAATCTATCATAATATGAAAAAATATTAGGAGTTTCTATCTGTTCTAAAGAGTTACAATGAATTTTATATAGGCATGTTTTTGCCCATGTATTGTGGATAAAGATAACGCAAATCCGCGCGTGCTGTCAACTTTGACGGACGCTCATTGCGTTAATAAAAGGTGAACAAATTATCAAAATGCTTGGAAAAATGTACCAAATATGATGACAGAAAAAAATCGGCGATTCTATGTTGCAAAATCCCAGTACGCGCGAAAACGCGCGCGCATGCGCGTGCGCGTAATTTTTTTATCAAATGCTCCATATGGCCTGAAACGTATGCAAAAAAAAATTGGGATGATTTAGAGCATTTTAATTTTTTGCGCGCGCGCGTAAACGCACTTACGAGCGCGCACGCGCGCATTTACGAACGTTTATTGACCTAAAATTGATCGGACGGATATTGATCTTAATTATCATAAATATGAATGAAAAATTACTATTTGTTATGAAGATAGGATCATTAGTTGATTTTCACAAAATGGCGCCTGGATGACGTCACGATGACTTTGAGTCTTTCAAAATTCACGCAGTTCTAAGTTAGACTAAGATCTATCATCATTAAAAGATTTTTAACAATGGCTTTATTCAGTCTTGAGATATCCTGCGAACAAATTCGAGGAAGAATAATAATAATAAATAACTAGACTTTAATTCGTCACTTAGACGAATTAGGTGATACGTATGATAATGGTTTACATAACGAATAATGCATTACACGATATATTATTTTGCTTCTCCCATTCATATGCTTCTCCCATTATGATCTATTCATATGTCAAGATTAAATTGTGTCTCCTTGATCATCATGGATCTAGGGAAGATAGATTGAAACAATATATGACCTTTGACCCTGTGCAGTAACCAGTTACACATTTGACTCTAATTTACATCATGAAGAACACCTTTTGACGATTTTATCTTATTCAAAGAAATGAAAATTGAATTGATAAATGATTAGCATCATTATGATAATGATGATCGTGATGATCATGATCATGATCATGAGCGCGATCATGACATCTTATTGAAAAAAATGAGGGTTGATTTAGATAGCATATAATCTCAGCTACAACATACTAAAAAATCAACAAAATCCAAGCCGAAATAACGGCGATATTGCTCGCAAAAGACAGGAATGTAGACTCCATATTTGAGAAAAAGTCATTTCCCATAGGGATTACACGCAAAAAGTAATGGATTAAGTGAAAATAGGGTAATAATAAAGTAAAAAGGGTTATTTATGACATTATTTGCGAATCTACGTGTTTAAATAATCAAAGGAGATGGTACAGTGAAGGTCAAAAGGAAAAAAAAGTGGAAAAAAAAGTGTTGGAGACACCCGGACTCGAACCAGGGATCTCGAGGTTGGAAGTCAAGTGCGTTACCGATATACCAAAACATCTCCCATAGCGATTACACGTAAACAGGAAATGGAATTCAGAAATCCTACTTTGCAAGTGAAATATGAGCATGATCCCGGCATCTGATCGAGAAATAAAGGGCACACTTGTGATAGCTCATTGTCTCAGCTACAACATATCCGAAGCTCAGCGAAAACGAAGCTAAAACAACGGAGATTTTGCTCGCGAAAGACAGGAGTGTAGAATCCAGTTTTGAGAAAAAGTCATGTCCCATAGAGAATACACGCAAAATGCGAAAAATTGACATGCCTCCTTTAATCGCAAAAATACACCATGATACTTTTGTCAAAAATAAAAATTGTGAACATTACATTTGTAGAAAATTGTCTCAGCTAGAACATATCAAAATTAAAAAGAAAATTGATCCATATTTACAGAGATACAATCAATTTTCCAAAAATATGCTGACGTCATAATATGCAAATTAAAATTTTGAGTTTGGAGGCCATTATGATGACGTCATGAGTTAATTGAGGATCAAATGAGACATGAAATCATATCTCCGACTCATAATCTATCCAAATATGACAAAATATTAGGAGTTTCTATCTATTCTAAAGAGTTACAATGAATTTTATATAGGCATGTTTTTGCCCATGTATTGTGGATAAAGATAACGCAAATCCGCGCGTGCTGTCAACTTTGACGGACGCTCATTGCGTTAAAAAAAGGTGAACAAATTGTCAAAATGCTTGGAAAAATGTACCGAATATGATGACAGAAAAAAATCGGCGATTCTATGTTGCAAAATGCCAGTACGCGCGAAAACGCGCGCGCATGCGCGTGTGCGTAATTTTTTTATCAAATGCTCCATATGGCCTGAAACGTATGCAAAAAAAATTTGGGATGATTTAGAGCATTTTTAATTTTTGCGCGCGCGTAAACGCGCGGACGAGCGCGCACGCGCGCATTTACGCACGTTTATTGACCTCAACTTGACCGGACGGATATTGATCTTAATCATGATAAATATGAATGAAAAATTATTATTCGTTATAAAGATATGATCATTAGTTGATTTTCACAAAATGGCGCCTGGATGACGTCACGATGACTTTGAGTCTTTGAAAAGTCACGCAGTTCTAAGTTAGACTAAGATCTATCATCATTGAAAGATTCATAACAATGGCTTCGTTCAGTCTTGAGATATCCTGCGAACAAATTCGAGGAAGAATAATAATAAATAAATAAATAATAAAAATCTTTACGAAATCAAAAGGTGATACGTCTACGTACGTATCACCTAATAAAGAAAATCTTGACGAAATCAAAAGGTGATACGTAGACTTCGTTACGTATCACCTAATGATTCCGTCAAAATTTGCAATTTCAACTTTCGATTGAAAATTCCGACATGATCCCAACATCTGATGAAAAAACAAAGTACACCGTTTTTATAGCCCATGGTCTCAGCTATAACATACCCCAATTTGGGAGAAAACAGAGCACACATAAGATAGATAGTGCTCATAGATGAATGCCATGTAGATTCATGATGTGAACGAAATTCACCTTCCATAGACATAACACGCAAATGACGAAAATTCTGACATGTGGCCTTTAATTGAATTTTGTACTATGATGACCTCATTAAAATGAAACTTAGTGAAAAGTGATCTTGTAGAGAATTGCCTTATCTACAACATATCGACATTTCAAAGAGAATCGATGAATATTGAGAGAAATACACTACATTTTCCATAAATACAATGACGTCATAATATGCAATTTTGTA